TGAGAAATCAGATCTTCATGAAAAATGTATTAGTTACAAGTAGTTGAATCTTATTGTTCTATAAAATTGATATATTAGCAAATAAGACTCTGAAAGGGCATCTAATCTGAAATTCTGATGGACAGTTAAGTTTTATATTCCTGCTGTGTGGTGGTGGCACAAGCCTTTAATCCCAGCTCTACAAGAGGCAGAGGGATTAAAGGGTAAATCTCTTGAGTTCTAGGACAGCCAGGACTACACAGACAAAACTTGTCTCAAAAAGACCCCCCCCCAAAAAAAGAAGAAAGTAAAACATACTCTTTATTTTATTATTTATGCTCTTATTATGGGTATGAATACATGTATCCCCACACTTTTTTAATACCTCATCGATATCCACTAGTGGCAATTTTTTTCTTTCCCAGGGAGACCAATTTGATATACTAAAGATAATTTGGTCTTTCATTTCTTGTATGTGTATAAAATCTAGTATGGAAAATAATCCAAAATCAGAACCAATACAAGTTAATACAAATGGTACTTTTGAGTGCAAAATTCCACTATTGATCTTGTGTGATTGGTGCTATCAGAAAACACAGGCATTCAACACACAGTTTATTCAGCATCCTCAAGGAGGGAACAGCCACCCTCTTAGTCCTCTTCGGCTCAGAGCTCTCGTCCTCCCCTTGTCCAGCACAGTAATGCCCACAGAGAGGAAAACATAGCGTTTGTGCAGTCCAGATGCACCAGTGACAGGTTGCATGTGCTACTCTACAAAGCTAAGATCTTCCAGCCTTACTCACTGGTTTTTCATTTTTTCTTTGGAATCTAAAATATTGTTGAATCAAAAAGGCCCCCAGATAACCTGTGAGCAACAGGAATATTTGTTTGTCTATGGCACAGAAGGATTAAGTTGCTAGAGAAGCTGGACATTAGTGTACAGCCTTTCCGAAAACTGGTGTTGGAATGAGTGTGTCTGGCAGAGTACAAGGATGAACTGTGTCAATAAGTAATGAAGAGAAGTTAATAGAAAGCAGAAAAATGATGCGTAACACTTCAAATGATGGTCTTGCTCATGTACAGGAAGAGGGATCCATCACTTGTCATGACCACCTGCCCCATAATGCTGTGCTGCTCAGTAACTAAGTAAAGATCTGTCTTGACTGAGGGAAAGCTGGGGGGCTGGTGAGGAATTAATGGGCTGTTGACAGACACATAAGGAAAAACTAAGAATTTAGTCTGGAGATTGGAATTGACTAAAGATCTGATCATGAGGTATCGGAGTTTCTTGGTGGACTTGTCCATGCATTGCTGCTGATGATTTTAGCAGGACAAAGCTCCCTGCTGGGTAGTCTGAGTTTCTGTCGCACATGCACATGCATAGAGTGTAAACCAGCAGTGATGGGCTGCTGAGTTCATGGACTTCCTGCTGTGGGTTCAATCTTCTCTTATGCTAGCAAAAAGGCAAGGATCACTAAAGACACCTCTTCTTATTTGTTTGAAAATAGTTTCTTAACAGTAGTTCATACTTAACATACAAACCCGGACTGGGTGGTGATTATTCATTGGCAATGATTGTGCTCATTCCAGTCCCTACAAAACCACCAT